TGGTGATATCATTTGAAATTGTGAATCAACACTTTCCTGCTGATGTGTCCTTACGAACGAGTCGAACGTAGACTGAATAGGTGAGTGACCAAAATGACACTTCGCACCGGTCGATTCGATTTTGACGACGGAGGAACTTACGTTGGCCAATGGTATCAAGGTTGCGCACATGGACTGGGTCTCGCCACCGGGCCAAACGGAATCGGCGAATATTCCGGTCAGTGGGAATCCGGGTTTGAAACGTGTGGAGTGTACGTCTGGCCCAGTGGGAATGTATACGCAGGAACTTGGGCCAAAGGTAAACGGCATGGATGTGGACAACAGATGAGAGGAAAATGGATTTATCAGGGTCAGTTCACAGCCGGAGCATGTGGTCCTTGCGGTGTGAAAGCGTTGTGTAATAGCCAGTCCATGTACGAGGGCAGCTGGTGTTTCAACCGATTTGAAGGATACGGGATTGAAACGTGTGCAGACGGAAGTAAGTGGTCATCCAAAACAAGAGATATGGGTGTAGTTATAAATCGAAAAACTTTCTGTAGGTACGATCAATTATGCCCTGATTACGACAGGTAACATACTGAGAACTTACGGTTTGATAAAAATAAAGAATAGAGTATATCACTAAAGACGACAAATTCGGTAGTAACTCAAAAGACAACATAAAACGGATTTCTTCCCAAAAAAGGGTGATACAGATGCTCAAAATCCATAAAATATAATATTAACGACAGAGCAAGAGAAACAAGGTAAACCCACAAAGTTTGAGTTAATCGATTCAAAAATGTGCAGAGCACCACCTCATGAAATAAAGTCATAGAAAAAGTTTTTGTTTCAAACTTTAGCTTTTAAATGGGAAAAGCAAAAATGGTTTTTCATTATTTTTCGATCTCTTCAGAGGCTTTTGAGGAATCTCCTAATAAACATGAGATTTCCGGATACCGAAACTGGGCTGTTTTGATGTGAAGCACAGTTGTTTGGTTCTAACCATATCATGAAACTTTCTATAACTGAAGCAAATATTTGTATCGATAAAGCTTGCCACAGGTTTTAGCGTTGACGGAATCGTCTTCCTAGTGGTTTATTATATTTTGAACACGATCTCTAGGGCTAGGCCGTTTGTAACGCTACTGTATTATTTTAGGTTGTCTTGTGGTATTTTTGGTTGTCACATACGGGTTCAGTTAGATTACTTTTAGTGGGTACGGGTTCATCAAGATTTACTGATGGAATTCAGTTTTGTAACCCATACACAACGCCTCTACAAACAATTCACTGGTGATTTATTCCTAGATTGTTTTATTTGCCTTTGTGTGGGATAATTTTCCTGTTGAACATCATATGGCAGCACGCCATTACAGTTGGTAAAGCGCTTCTCATTCTCCTTTTTGGGTTCCATTTACCTCCAGGATCTTGTGGGCGGTTTTGAACGTTTTCATTGTTTATTCTCCATATAGGGTGGGTGCTCGTCATGCTTAGAATAGATTCGTGTTACTCGGCGTTTAGTAAATTATCCAACCTGAGTTCACGTATTCCAATGGTTTAACCATCGGGCACTTCGAAAAAAGTCCAAAGCACGAAGATCGAGAATGAATGTTGTGAAATTTGTCAAACCCATTGAATATAAAGGTATAGAAGAAACGCACATCAGGTATTATAGAAATGAAATGTCGCCTCTGTGGGGGAACAAGACATTTCAAACCGAAGATTACATGGCATAACTGAATTTCAGCAGATAATAATACACAACATTCGGTGAACTTCAATCACAAAAATTTACCTACAAGTGCTGTTCTTTAAACTTTACCCACCTGAGATCACAAAATGAGTTTAGCAGATACACTGGGAAGTTACTTCACAGAATAAAATAATGGGAAAACCACACACATTGTTATTCACAATACAGTTTTATGAAATCGATAATTGATTCATCGATCCCTCAGTTTCGACTCATTTCCTGTACGTGCTAAATGAAAATGAACACTTCTTAATAGTATAAAAGCATCGTAAGTCAATTAGTGGGTATAAAGCGAACGAAGGAAGTATTCTTCTCTTTTCAGTGGACAGAACCTTAGGTAAATACTTCACGGCTTGAATTTTCTGTACAAGAAAAACAGACTGCTGTGCTAATTCAAATCATTCCAGTTTAGTTCATACTTTTTGTAGGATCTTCGCATATACTGCTCACCACTTTTTATGTTTCAGAATGCCTGCAAAATTCTTCGTGCTTTAAAAAATAATACTTCCCACTAATAGGCTTAATTCTCGTTTCCTTCCCACTAATGTTTACGTATCAGTTAGAAACGCTAGCTTTACTTCAACTGAAGTACATCGTGTGGCAAGGGTTATCATCGCAATAAAAAGACAATAAATCAACCGTGAAAGTAATCGTTATGAGTAGTGATACCTTGAAGCTAGATCGTGCGTGCTCACCGAGTTTAGGACGCGATAATTCAGTTGCTCGCCGATTTCGCTTGAGGTATAACAATAATGAACCGCTTCTTTCATGGAATTTCGGTGGCTTCACTATGATCCTAAAGCTGGTGCCATGATCCAGTATGATGCTCGGTACATAGGCAGACCAGGGATCGGAACCACAATTTTAATCGAGAAACGGAATAGCACTGGTAATCGATGACCAAGATCTGCCCACACAGAGGCACAAGCAAAAGATCACTAAACTCGCTAGTTTGTTGAAAAAATCAAGGGAATTAAATCATGTGTAGAACAGATCATTGCCTATACAGATAATGACCAATCGCTGTCGGTGTTGTCATCACAGGTGCCCTGCTAGAACCGCACCCGTTTTAATTGTTCCAGAATGTTGGTCTCTGATTGGTAGTTCTGAAACTGTAACCAGTAGTTTGCTAGTTGGTGTCATTTGTCTCGGAGAGTGGGATTGCCACAATAAGCCCTAATAACGACCCAGTAGACCTAGACCATCTTAAAATTTGAGTCTTTTCAAATCACTGCGAAACAGTGATCGGTGCGCTTCTCAGAGACTTCTTAGGGAATACTGTCCTGTTGTGTGACCCTGACGTTTTATAGAGTGACCCAACCCCATGCTGACAGTAATGTCTAGTTGTTCTTCTTCTAGGTGGATAGACTCGGTAAGCTGAGTAGCTAGAGGCTGAATGGTCGATTTGTTTTAGCCCGCCTGCAGAGAAAGCATACATATTGCATTTCATCAATAGGATGAGCAACAAAAGGACTAATGAGCTCGAACTGAGGAAGCAACACCATCTAACCAATGTTACACCCTGGTTTCCTTGCGATATCATAATTTCTCCCCTAACTACCTTTTAAATCAGTTTCACCAACTCAAAATAACGTACATTTTATGTCTCACGAATTCACACATTTTGGTAGTCTGTTCAGTAAATTATCACTTATTTGTTCAGTGTTGGTAAACGTCATGAAAGCACTCACGCGTTGAACTAGTGCCGCATGTGCCTCTTAATTTATGTGATCACATTTATCTCCAAACTTGTAGTGTACCTGCTTAAATGTAACATTTATACGTTCAAATTGTATGATGGTACACTAAATGAACCATACAAATAAATTGTATAATATGAATCTAACTGCTTTTTATCAACATCCCCAGCTTCTATACCTTAGGATGCTATGTCCTGAAGTCGTCCATTATGCATTTCTGCCCGAAATATCAGGTATTTATGCTGGTTCCTGGTCCAAAGGTTTACGTCATGGTCTTGGTGTACGACGTTCCTATGTTCGGTTTCCTCTGAACATTGCTCATTCGAATGGCGGAACTAATTGTGGTCAAGATAATCTTTTGAGTTCCAGTATTTGTGGTGGTGGAACAACGCTCACTCAATTGACAGATGCCCTAACTGGTGACAAAAGTAAGGAGGCGGATTTTTCTGATCAGTGTAAAAGCCCACTTACTGATAACAGACCAAATAGTGGTGGTGCTGGTAATGACTCCGGTCGAGTAAGTCGCAAGGCCTTGATTGGGCGTGCAATCATGAGACGTTTACGGAAACAGCACTCCGCATTCGAATTGGGTTGCTCAGTCATAGCGCCAGTTTATGCTTCATCTTCTTCAGCTTCCGGAGCCAATAATATTTCATGTACACCACTTCCCATGGCGATAAACCGTCAACGAACTTTGCGATCATCCGGAGCAATGGGGACATTAAATGCTAATGCAGCATCCACCACCACAAATGAGAACGAAAAAAACTTCAGTGTTCCTTCAACCTTGATTGCTTTATGCCCAACCGTGAAAACCACAGATACCGAGTCTGTTATCACAAAGAACGATGTAAACTGGGTTACCTTGGTGGAAATTTACGCTGGGGAATGGGTAGAGGATAAACGTACTGGATTTGGTATCATGGAACGATCTAACGGATACCGCTATATAGGAGAATGGTCACAAAATCAGCGACACGGTTACGGTGTGACATATTATCCGGACGGGGCTCAAGACGAAGGACAATTCCAAGCTGATCAAATAACAATGCGCCTGACTCGGAAAAGTAAATTGCAAATCTTGCGGCAAACAAAACTGAAAGAATACGTTCAAGATGCCATTATCCGAGCAATAGATGCTGCGAAGGAAGCAAAAAGCAAAGCTACAAAATTAGCCCAGGAAAAGTGAGTTCGTTCTGGGACAGTTTGATGTGACAATTTGAATTACTGGCGTGGACGAATGGGAATTATGTTGTGAAACTATATCATTATTTAAGGATAATACTGAAATATTGAAAAGTTGTTACATGTTTTTACAAAAGTCGCTAAAGGGTTGTTATCGTAGAAGAACAAGGAAAAGTTAGAAAGTCAAATCGCCATCAACCGTGAGAAAATCACGATGGAGAAGAACCGATCCCGGTTTGCGCTGACCACGTTGAATATTAATTACCAAAGGCAATCCTTAATCNTTAATCACTCAAGGTTTTGAGTTTATATTTACACTTCCTTTAGTTATTTAGTAAAACGACTCTAGTTATTTATGCACACATTTCAGTTAAATTTGACCACCTCAGGTTTTCCAAATCGCCGCTTATTTTTGAAAGTTGATAAATTCACCATTTGTGCCACTTCAAAAGCTTCGTTTGTGGCCGTCTTACTGTGATTGCAAGGTTAATTCCCGAAATCGACAGACAAATCATATGATGCATGAGGTCAGTACGCTAACAANAGTCTAAACTGACCAGAGAATCTGTAAGCCTTAAACATAAAACAAAGATAATGGGTTCAATAATCCATTTAATCTAAGCTAAGAGGCAATGAAAACGAACCTTCTGAAGGGTATAATTGTAAGTATATGTGTGTATACACGAATGCACGGTATTATGGATGGATGGACGGATGAATGGATGGATGGATGGTTGTGTATGTGTTTCCATCGCAATGAGCATTGCAAATAAACTTAGTCTCAACAGTTTAATTAAATTTATGTATGCACCGTGAAAATCTATTCACAAATGTATTAAAATAAAATCCTTGGATGTGGATTGCCTCTGCAGCTGATTCTGAAGGATTGTGAACGTCTCTTGAGTAGATACTTCCAGCCCCCAAGATCCATGGAGAGTTTAAACTAAGGGTCACGACCTGTTATTGACTGACAATTTTTTATTGCGTCAATTGGTAGTTGAAATTTTTCGAGTATTTGCATCTAATTTTTGGATCAACACACAAGGAAACTGATGAGTTTGTGTTGAACATAGTGTCATAGATTGCTGCCTTCAGTAACAAATTTTGTTCGGCCGGTGCACGCACCAACCTGACCGTTTGCTTATCATAAGCGGTGATAAGACTTATCGGCAGCATGGATATTTTCGTTTTTAAGTTGTGAACATGTATCAATGGTTATTCACCGTTGTGATTATTAAATATGACAATCTCGTTGCGTTAATGATCATGAATTTAGCGCAAAAGTTTCTGCTTGAAACGGAATATGCTCTGGAAGACAATTAAAAGCCGATTTTTGGAAATTAGTTCGAGATGTTTACAGACCTCAGAAATTGACTACTTGTTTTCAACTCTCGATTACCGTTGTCCATGTGCCTTCGCGAAATATAGAAATATTCAGTCACAGCTAATATCGTGCATTTCCAAGGTTATATACGCATTTTGATCCGACAGATCCAAAGGAACTTTTATCCAATATAATCCACATATGGTAGTTAAAATAGCAATTTTACTGCAAAAAGAAAAAAATTAAATTCTTCAGTTTACGTATCGAACAGTGATTGTATATGAGCAGGAGGCAGGAACGGCTCTCATTTTCAAAGTTGGCATAAGTACTGATCAAACAGTTTTGCATTCTCGAAAATCATTGAATACACTTCATTCGATAATCGGGAAATCATCTGTGTATGAACAAGCGTGTTCTGTGATTTTGTCTTCTGGCATTTACAAAATATGCCAAACTTTTGCTCGATCGGTAACTTATAAATAAACTAAGTGATTCCATTTCTCAAGATGTATGAGATGGATTGAAAGGAGACCGACGCTGTCTCAGTAAACTCCGTTCATAAGATTAACTTGAACCTATTCGAGATGTTAGCTCAGTTTTGTCGAATCACCGTCAGTTGGTCAGTTTCTGACTCAGTAGTTCCGACCTAAGACACACTATGTCAACTGTTAAATTCAGTGGACAGCCTGTCACCAGATCACAATTTCCTACCCGATTCAGGTACTCAGTTACAAACGAATACACATAATGCTGTAGATCAAAAATCATGGTACTGTTGTTTTTTCTTGGCAATGAAATGCAGGCTTAGCTCAGCCTGGATTTCCCTTATTAACATAGCTTCACAGCAATCGTGAACTCATCATTTAATTTACAACAATTGCAGCTGAGTGCCCGGTTTAAATGAACTGCACTTGTTTCCACATGTGTAATATCCCCTGTGAGTAGGGCACTGGTTGACCAACTTCTTAGGGATCACCTGCGCCTTTTATCTTTTGTGCAATAGAGTCATTGTGTGAATGGTGCACTGTCATCTTGAGGGAATAATGCACTGTGAAATTATTCAGATCCGTGCACACGTTCCTTAATACACACGTTTCAGGCTAAATACACAGAAGCATGCACTTAGTAACTCCGTCGTAATTGGAACTGAAACTGTCTTACGAATCTCATACCGGACTAACCGTTTGCACTCATCAAGTGAAAAGTTTCCTCGTATGCGTGCACGCAGTTTTGTGTTTATATGCGTTTGTCTATCTTCCTGTCTGTCTGTCTGTCCGTCGGTCCACTCATCCGTCTGTGTGAATATTTACGTCTATATATGTATAAATGTGTGTGAATATGTGCTGTCGCATTTTCCGGCTATATTCACTTTGGAATAGTTAACAGCTATTTCGCTCAAGTATCTTACATTTCGTTGTATTTCATTAGTGTTATTATTCTATTTTGTAGGGCTAAAATGGCTAGAAAAGCTGCTGAAGATGCTGAAGAACATCTACTCAAAGCCAGGTGTCTTTCGCAACAAGCCAGAGAACTAGTGCGAAAAAGCGAGCCTCAGTTTCATCAACCCGGTGAGTTTTACTGTCATTGATTTCACTCTTCCCGCATTGCATGATGGTTTCATTGCAAAGGAGAAACCTCAACAATACATTTGATCGCTTTGTAAACTTGTTGCAGGCGAATGATAACGCCGATTCTGATCCGCCTAGTTCTTTTTTATGCACTACGCAAAACCAAAAACGCTGTACTCCGTGACAGTTTAGTTTATAGCCAACCTTTCAAATATAGCTATCTTGCGATGACCAATTAACTTCGAACTCTTATCTAATCGAGGTTATTCCTAAATCGGAATTTTAATAACTTTGCTCAGTAACAAGATAGTTCGGATTCTTTTCACCATGCTAATATGTTGCAGATTAGTAGAAAATGACATTCGAACAGAATGCAATTTATACCTTGTATGCTCTAGATAGTTTGTTCACTTACGTAATGGGGCTTGCTAATTCATGAGGTGAATCCGTATGAGATAACATTTGTATTCAAAAATGTGGTGCACTATAGAAAATAACCGCACTAAAAGAAACAACGTGAAAAACCTAAAACGCTTCCTTATTGACAAAGATAAACATTTTATTTTAGGTTCCTTCGAGAAGATTCATATTCTTATAGGTGAAAAGAATGAGCGCATGCAAATAGGACGGTGTCTTCAGTTTTCAGAAACCGAGTCATTTTCAGTGTTATTTATTTATTATAATCAGTCAATACAATTTCAACAAAATTGGGAAACCTTTGCATCTAGTTTCACGAGATTCAGAATCAACCTAAAATTTAGTGATCTCAAGTAGTTGCATTAGGAGTAAATGAAGTGGGAACTGTAAATCTAGGAAGTTTTGGACATCTGTTTCGACCTGGCGTTCTCATCAACATTTCAAATCCATCAGCCCAAATGAGGATCAAATTAAACAAAAATCATAGTGTATATATTGAAAATGACAAGTATCTGAGCAGCTGCCCCTTGGTCAAGTGGGTAGTATGCTTGCGTTCACCTGTGCGGTCTCTCCAGTTGGCTCGATGGCTGAGCTCTGGTGAAGAAATCCAACCACGTTGAAACAACTTTCTAGTGCTTTCCAACCGTTTAGTTCGTGTTTCATTTACTGTGTACGCGAAGAAACTTACCTGATGGCCCAATCAAATCATCCGATATTCTCATTTAATTGATCTATTCCCTTCACTTAGCATATTCAGTAGTGTGAATATGTGTGTTTGTATTGATCGTTGCATTAAGTAAACACTAAGTAGACTTACATCAAGTGACAGATCTCCGTCTCAGTGAAGATAGTCATCATAAATCGTGTTAGACGGTCAGGCACCTTATCATACAACTCTGATGAACAAACACCAGTCGGGGCCAAACCAAGTAATCTGGCGGTGAGGTTTTCCGCTCATTCAACTACATCCGAGTTAGGTAAATATACTCTACTCACCATTTCTGGCACCAATCAACTGTTACTTGGTACTCGTGATGTGGAAGTTAGCATGCTGAGCCAATGAGTTCTGTCGAATTATCAAACCTCCACTGGTGAGTAACAATGACGAGATTCAAAATATCCGAGTCTTGCGACTGAATAATAAATGTCTATCATGCCTAAGTTTAAAAGTTGCATCCTCAAATTGATTTTCATTTTTAATTTGATTTGCAGGTTTGGATTGGGAAAAAAAACGTCAGATTGAAAGTCTGTCTAATACCCGTCCTTTGGGCACTCCGTCGGAAATGAGCCCTTATAATTCTAATCCGGAGGAATCCGGGGAAGACAGGCTGCTTCCAGTTTATAAGTCTACACAGCCTAAATTCTCCAAAGCATCAGAGCCCTTCCCTCCATACACTGACACAACGATGATCCACTCAGAAACAAATTCAGACTTACGAGACAAGTGCGCCAAAGCGGAATTACCTGGACAACTATCAAAATCTCCCATACAACCAAGCCCCACTCGACCCGTATTTGGGCAGTTTTGGCGTATAAAACTGCACAAAACACCTACCGATCGACTTCTGTCCCTGGATTCTACATCAAATTCTTCAGAGAATCAACTTATCTCGTATTTCGATACATTTGAGCGTTTTGCTAGAATCGGAAATCCAAAAGGTTCAACCACTCCGAAAAAACAGGTTCAATCTTCATCCACACAAGATGAGTCCTGCTATTGCGAGGAACATGGTTCGTGTTTGGCATCCCCTAATCTAACCGAAGTAGAACGACGTATTTCAACTGTAAAAGAATTGTCAAACGAGGACACAGATGTACTTAAAAATTTCGAGGAGGATAATATGACATCTACAACAACCAAAACTGCTGTCACAAGCACTGTGACTGGCATTAACACCACAAACGAACCAGCAAACGGTGATCCACCCAGAATCGACGGATTTGTTGGAGGGAAAAGCTTGATCCCGTTGAGTCGCGTGGAAGATAATCTCTATAGAGTAGGTCGTTTGTTTTATTCACGAAATAACCAGCCCACCATGTGAAGTTCTTATTTATATCATCCGCGTAATAAAATGGCGATAGACATTAATACCTGCTTGAGCATTTTGAAAATAACTACAACAATTCCCAAGCCTTTAACCTTTAAGGCCTCAGCAGGGATGTGAGACTGTATTTCGTCGCTTAGATTCTCACAATGAATACCATTTAATTCATAAATGTCTTGTTAATAGAAATGCGTGAGTGACCGGCAACATGCCTTCTAATTGTAATTAAAGCTCTAATGATACCTTCTGTAGATGTAAGGTGTACATTTCTGTCGAAACTGTACACCGTAGAGAAAAAAAGAAATAATAAAAAATAAAGTTCTCACACTTTCAACATAGTTTGCCAAAACCCATTCCTTGCTAACCAGAATATGTGCTAAAGAGGGTACCGTGAAATTAGAACTTTTGTTTGTGCGAAAAAGAATACAAAAATTTTGTGATCCAGTCCATGAATGTGATTGATATAAAAGTAAATGTTTGTGCTCAAAAGATGTATGGGATCCATAAGAATATATATATTTGATATTTACACAGATTAATCATTAACTCGTCTTGCGATATCGAAGAGACATGGTTAATGACGGTCAGTCCACATCGAATGGGAAACGGATACGGTACCGTAAATAGATAGTCGAGATTTTTAGAGAGATCAAAAGAGAGCTTGAAGTAGCGAAAAGTTGATGAACGTTATTCGATTTGTTATGTTCAGTGAGACAATAACTGTGGGACGAAGACAAGATCAATAATCACAATGGGCAACACTACAGGACAACGAAAAAAGGGGATGAGAGAGGATAAGGGGTCAACCACCAAGGCAGAACTAACGTGACTAACCATTCACTTTGTTTGCCTAGGTCCGGTTTGAGTGTGTGAATGGCTAGGGGCTCGGCAAATTTCAGAAACTATGTGTATGTTATGTTATAGATGAACTGGAATGTGGGGAATGGAGTGACACAATGTTTTCGTTCGATTAAGTGTTGCGTCATCGAAGACCTAAGTCTTTTCTGATCATTATCACTTTCTAATGCAACATCGTGATGTGTTCAGCCATTCGGTAACGTAACTGTCTCACTGTCCTATGTAGATGGCCGAGTATCCAAAATTTGATTTGGAGCAGGGGGTCAATGGTTCTTTCACCGATGTTGTTTGTATCTGGGTGATAATGAAGACAATGACTGGGTCAACTGCGTAATAGACCAGCTTGATGGTAGAGTTCAACTTTTGCTGACTAGTTTACTCACGTCGTGGCTTTTGTGTACCAACTTCAACAAGTTTCCATTTTTGGGTTTTCTACTTTTGGTATTACTTTACACGGCTTAGCATTGATTGCACCTGGACAGCCATTTGCTTGTACTGCCTCTTTTGGGAGGTTATTTTCATCGTTTAAAGAATCCTATATGCGAACAAGACTAAATTTTTATCACATGGGAGCGAAGCTCGTCAAATGCAAGTATTGCTCAGACCACTTGTTCTTTCGGAAGACAGATTTTTTAATTGATCCATTTAGCCGACGAGTTTTATTTATGTCTAAAAACTGGATACGGTCATCCGGTTCGTCGTGACGAGTAAGCTGCGTGTTCGGGTGAATGATGTTGAGTCGATGGAATAAGTTTTCTCCGTCGTCCTTGATGTTGCTTATGACGAAGTTGTCATCAACATAGTGACAATGTACATCTAATTTTGAGACATCCTCTTCAAGCCTTTGCTCTAGGTGACCAAAAAATATCCGCAAAGATCGGTCCCAGCGGACTGCTTATGGCTATCCCATCTGTCTGTCGTTATCGTTTGACATTCAGAAAAGTAGAAGTTGCGATAGTTCACTGATTGGCAATCCGATTTGCAAGTTCTTTTGCTCAATTACCTGACAAATAATCCTGATGGTTTCATGTAGCGGAACATTTTCGAATTGAGAGTTGATATCCATTGTAAACATCTGTCTCTTTTCAATATTTCTTTGGGTCAAATGTTTACATATCTCAAAGCTATCATTGACATTACGCCGAGCGATTGACTTTATCACCGGTACCAGAACTTTAACTAACCACTTTGCTAATAGACGTTGCGGTGAATCGGTCACGCCTAGGCCGTAATGGAATACTTTTCTTATACGCCTTCGATAAGCCAAACATTTGAGATGTCTGTATTCCCCTCGGACATGAAAATTGCGCCAATTATTCCAGTATAAAGTTTGTCCAGATAACAGTTTTCAGTTCCGCACAAGTTTTCTTCTCTAATTCACTTGGATGGTCTGGAGTCCAGCTTGAAACTTTGTTTCGTCCTGTAAGAAACGTGTCATTTTTTCTTAGTAGTATGACTTTTCTATCACCTTTGTCAGCAGCACGACGATATTTTTTTGATTTGATTAGCTTTCAATTGTATTAATCCTTTAATGTGTGCATCGACCAGTAAGGAGGTCGGGTCTGCTTCGTAATTGTGATTCGGTATTAATTCTCTATATTCACCAGTTTTGCTTTAAACCAGCCCAGATCATCCTTATTCGTCGGCTTCATATTTAACAACTGATCAAACACCGCTTTAAATTTAATATGATTACTCCTTCATAGCGGAATACAATAATTTAAACCACATAACAAAGCTTCGATTTGCAGTCGATTCAACCGATATGACGATAAATTGGAAACGTATTTTTCAAGNTTTCAAGGTATTCAGGCAAAGACGGGTTCATCAATTTATGATTCTATGATTGACCAAATCTCTTCATGTAATACATGCGTGTTCGACAAACCTTTTCCCTGTATAAACTGATAAATTTGATAGCCTATATCATGGTTAGATGGTCCGAAGTTTTGGAAGCATCATATAACACAGAAAGAAGTTGTGAAAGATTGATTCTGCACTCCTCAATGTGGCACCTGGTTATACGCTTCAGGTTCTCCGACGTTGGTTGAAGGTTTTTACTAGGTAGACGCTTTCAATAAGCGATTGGGTAATCACAGTCAAAGTTTTATTATGGGCGATTTAAAAAAGCTAAAGTTTATCATGCCCCATGGGATTTTTACAGCATGTTTTGAATAACATCGGATGGAAGAGAATTCCATACGCCACACACTCTGAATGCAAACGAATGAATCCGGCAATCAATGGCTGTTATGGGTCTCTACCTCTAGTGGTTGTCCCCTGAGGTGATCATTTTGAGATAAATTCAGCATAGAGCGATAAGGGTGGTTGGGTTGATGCAGTATGTAATATGCCAAGATTAGGCCCTCCCGAAGTCAGTGAAATTGTGATAAGTAGAGTTCGAATATTTTCAATCTTTCGGAGTGTCTTGTTATACATACCTTTTACCAATCCTGTTGCCAGCCTTTGCGGAATTTCCAAAGCCTTCTTGTCGGGGTTCAACCGTGGATTCCATACTTGAACGGCGTAATCCGTGTGTGGCCGAACGAACGCTGATAGCAAGCGTGCTACCTGAAAACACGTTTGAGTAGTCCAAATTGCTTTAAAGCCATGGATGAAGCTCTGGCACAGTACGTGGAACATCCTCTGTCCTCCTGTACCATACCCCTCAAATCCTTTTCGTCGGTAGAATGTGGTAGTATTTGGTTCCCCAGAGCATAGGAGAAACGAGTCTCATATCGCATGGAAATAACTCTGCATTTGAAAACGTTGAACTCGATGTCATTGGCATTGACCATCGGTGGGCTGCATCGATCGTTTGTTGGAATGCTATATAATTCTCTGGATGTGTTACAGTTCTCCAGATCATAGCGTCGTCCGCAAATAGTGTGTTAGACCCAAGTACATGTGACACGCGGTGCATAAATGCAAGAAAGAGACGAGGCCCCAGTACGGATCCCTGAGGAACTTCTCGGTTCTGATAATGAAGCACCAACTCGAAATGACATGGTTCTATCTCGGAGAAACTCCTTGATCGAGTCCAGAACCAAACCTCTTACTCCGAAACTGTGGAGTTTTCGCAGTAGAATTTGATAGTTTACTCAAGCAAAGACATTCAACTTGAAGTTGAATAAAGAAGTCCAAATAAGCTATATCCAATGACTGGCCTGCCTTGACGGATTCTGTCCACTCATCTCGTGCAAGAAGTAGATTTGTGGTGCACGAACGCTTGTGCCGAAATCAGTGCTTAGTTGTAGATGAAAGCTCATGCTTCTCTAGACACTTCATCAACAGATCTGCCACAATAGCTTCCATGACTTTCGACACTATCGGAAGAAGTGTAAGAGGGCAGTAGTTGGCGGGATCAATGCGAGAGCTTCCTTTGTATATGGGGGAAATTACCCCTTCCTTCCATGATTACGGATTTATTGCCTTGTTGGACATCCCTTGGTAAAAGCAGCCAGAGGTTTGAAAATATTATTAGCTAGCGAGATCAGAGTCCGGGGTTGCATGCTGTCTGCGCCTGGGAATAAATTCTTACGCAAAGTTAGTAGTTTTGCTCTAACCTTATCACTTTCAAAAGCCATGTTAAACGGTGACGGTAGTTTACTTGGAATCTGTAATGGTTTGTGTGTCATTGAAGTTAACACCTGATAAACTGTTTTTTGAGGACTGCTGCTCATAGAGTAGTGTTTGAAACATATCCAGACGATCTCAATGCTAGTACTACGCACTTCACCTTCCTGTAGAGTTGATATATTTATAAGGCAATTTTGTATCAGAAATGAATTTGTGAGTCTTGGTAAATCAATCTATCCTCTCACGCAAACTTGGTACACTGATTTCTCAGTGAGGAATAATTATTCCAAGTTTCGATAGATGGACATCTTCTGTGCTGCCGCCAGAAAAACTTCCTTTACCCTATCCATTTCTTTGTTTGGCTGCGAATGAATGGCTGTCGAGTTTTAGATTTAACTCAAGTTTTGATACTTGTTGCAGCCGTTACAATTTCAGTAAGATAATCAGTGAAGCTCTTCCATATCACCAAAGGATCGTGATCATCTTCTGGGAGGACCATTTGCTTAATTATTGCCAGGTTTTGCAGCTTTTTGTAGTCTGTGATGGGACGAGTACTGCTC